AGCACTGGGTGTTGTGCACGAACAATGAATCATGGAACACTTCATCTAGAACTAATGATGTAATGTATGGGGATTAACATAAGAATAAAAAAAAATTAAAAAAAAAAAAAAGAAATTAAAAATCTATAAATGGAAAGACACACCATGTCAAGGAAGAGAAGATTCGATGTTGTTAAGATGAAATTATCTGCATAAATTAATCAATACAGTGCAACTACAATCATTATCCAAGCAAAATGTTTTGTGAAAGTTAATAAAATAATTCTTAAATTTACATGGAATTGAAAAGGACCTCTATCCAAGCAATCTTGAAAAAGAAGGACAAAGTTGAAGGGACTGCACCACCTAACTTCATGTCTTATTATAAAAAGCTACAGTAATGAAGATAGCATGGTAGTGGCATAAGGATCCACAGATAGATGAATGAAACAAAGGACGTGCAAAAAATAGACCCTCACTTACATAGCCATGTAATTTTCCTCAGAGGTGCCAACACCATCAGTGGGAGGAAAACATCTTTCAACAAATGGTACTGGGAAAACTGGGTATCCACATGGAGAGAAAATAAATTTTGAACCCCCTGCATCACAACATACACTAAAAGCAATTTGAGATGTATCAAAAACCTAAAAGTAAAAGTGTAATGGTAAAGCTTTTAGAGAAACACAGTAGACTAGCTCTGTAACTTATCAACAACTCTAGCATTTCTTTGAAACTGGCAAAGATTTGTTAGTTGACAGAAGGTAATAATCATAAAAGGAAAGAAAAACCTGATCTATTAGACAGACATCATGAAATTAAAAACTTCTGCAGATCACAAGACACTATGAAGAAAATATCAGGAAAGCCACAGACTGAACCAAATATTCACAGAACACATCTAACAAAGGACTTGTATCTGGGATATTTAAAAAAGCTCCTACAACTCAATAATGAGAAGACATACAGCCCATTCACAAATAGGCAAAGGACCCAAAAAGACACTTCAAAACAGAAGATACAGGAGCGGCCAGTAAGTACATGAAGTGGTCACATCATTACTAATCAGGGAAATGCTAATAAACACCACAGGAAAATATCAACATACTATTCGAATGGTTAAAAATTCAACAGACAGAGCACACTGACACCGATGAGGATACAGAGGATACAGGTTTTGCACTGCTCCTGGAAACACAACAAGGAACAATCACTTTGGGAAGAAGTATGGCAATTTCCCGTAAAATTAGATACATAGCTAGTTAAATCTTAAGTATTTACTCAAAAGAAATAAAAACATATCATCACAAAATGTATGAAAATGTTCACGGCAATTTAATCTATAATAACCCCAAATTGAAAACGCCCTAGTGAATGAATAAACAAACTGTGGCATATTCAACTAATGGACTACCAGTGAGCAATCAAGAGAAATGAACTACCAACGTATACAACAGTATGCATAAATCATGTACATGAGCACTCAGAAGAAAAAAACCAAGATAAAAAGAGTATCAATGTATCAAGTCATGCCAAATCTAAAACGACCAAGATTTTAGAATCAGATAGAAACTTTAAAGCACCTATTGTAATCATGTTCAAGGACATGACACTTGCAGTAAATGAAAAAAACAGAACATTTTTCTGGAACAGAGAAGTAGAATAGATAATACTGTGAACATTTATGTGCTTACACCCTATGCTAAGCATTTAAAATGGATAATCTTATTTAATTCTTAGTAATCCAACCTCATCTTACAAATGAAGAAATTAAAGTAGAAAGAAGTTACGTAGGTTGTCCAAAGTCACATCACTAGGATGATTCAGAAGCATAATTCTTTAGGGCTCCCCAACTCACACTAAAGTCAAACAGAAAAGATAGGATCACTAAATAAGTTTTTAACTTTTAATTAACTTTAAAAGTGTATCTGTGTTGGTGTCAGGTGGGGGAGGGCTATGCTAAGGGAAAACACCTCAAGAAAATATCAAACAATACAAATTGAACATCTCCCGTGTGATTAGATTTGCCACACCTGCAAACCTCACTGTCTTACCTTAGGGAACTGCTTTACAGGGATTAACACTTTCTGTCCCAGCTTCATGTTCTTATTAATCACCACATCGATGTACTTTTCTTCATCCTTGCCTTCTCCTTTTTGAAACTTTTCTATTTCTGTGGAGGAAAAAAGATAACCGTGAAGTGTATGACTTAGGACCCCAGAGGATGGGAGTTCTTGCTAGCTCTGCTGTGGCATGAACTCAAATACAGAAATACGGACTATCTGATCAATAGGGGTTTTTCAAGTAATGACGTATTTCCCATTGTACCAATCGTTCTTCAGCAGTACTGTAGAAAAAAGGCATGTACCATGGCTCTGCAAAGTCAAATCTCAACAGCCCATGCTAATGGAGGGAACAATGAACTAACTAAAAAACAGACACAAACAAAAATAAGTTTCTTGGGGCCTTCTGGAATCCGAGAGAGAGGCTGCTCAAACAGCTAAGAAAAGCCAGAAAACCACCTCTATTCAGTGTTAACAAAGTACTGACATCCCTATCCATCAGCTCTGCCTGGCTCTCCGAGGCTTACCTCACAGGAATTGATTCTTTAAGATGGCATGAAAAGTCCTAGACAACCTCCTGTCAGTTGACCTCCCCAACCAAATCTACCCTCCTCACAAGTGACACGGATCAACTACACACTCATGTCGTTAACATGCTTTTCTCTGCCTGTAATGTTATTATTTCAATGTCATACATCTCCTTCAAGATTCAGCCACACCAAATACTATTTTTTATGTGTGACTATCCCTTTCACCAATGAGGCAGGAAGGAAAGAATCAATCACTTCCACCTTGATGCTCAGAAAACACTTTACATTCAATTCTATGATGACTCCTATTGGAGAGAATGTGGTATCTCCATAGTGTATCTCCGTTACAGACAATGTTTGGAACCTCCCATTCACATGTTGAAATCCTAATCCCGGATGTGATGGTCTTAGGAGGTGGGGGCTCCAAGGAGGTGACTGGGTCATAAGGGTGGAGCCCTCACGAAAAGGATCAGTGCCTTATGAAAGAGACCCTATGCATGGAGCTCTTTCACCCCTCCTGCCACAAGAGGACACAGCAAGAAAACGGTCGTCTATGAGCCAGGAAGTGGGCCCTCATGTGACACCAAAATCTGTAGGCATGTTAATCTTGGACTTCCAACCTCCAGAACAGTAAGAAATATATTTCTGTTGTTCATAAGCTCCCCAGTCTATGGTATTCTGCAACTGCAGCCCAAGTGGACCAAGATACTCTCCCACCAGAACATAAATTTCTCTTAGGTAAAAATCTGTTTCTTCATCCAACAAACATCACTAAGCACACACCACGTGTACCTCCCAGATCTTGGAAAATTTCAGATGCTGTTTCCTCACGTTGTTGCCTATAGCATTTGGCTGTGTAAGAGGTACACAAGCAGGTGCTTCAATGAGTGCTGAATGATTGTGTACATGCACTGCTCCTTCCAGACGCACCACAAGATACGCAGGTTCAAGGAAGGGAACCACAGCATGGAGCAGGCCCAAACCTGGCATCAGGTGTAGAAAGGGGCACACGTATTCACTTGTTTTGGTTACTGGGCTAGGAATACTTGAGAATTTAATATGTGCCACATTCATGACATAATTCAATCCTCACAAGAGATGGCAGACAGGAAGTTCAGAAAGGTTACTCTGCTAATAGCAGCAAAGGTAGGACTTCCCTCCACGTTTGTCTGACTATAAAGACAGTGTGCTACTGCAGTCTCTCCCACCCTTTTTTATGTCATATAAGACAGAAAATAAGATGTTCATAGCACCTTAGGATAATGGAGGCTCTGTTGACAGCTGGAGGCTTCAGTTACCACTAAAGAACCCAGGGGTACTGATGCCTCCCCTCCCCCACCCACCTACCCCTTCATGCTCGAGCGCTAACCCCCCAATTATCTTGCTTGTATTCAGAGTTGAACCTGATCTCCCTTCTCCACAGTGACAGTCCTGACACCTATCATGATAGTCCTGAATAAAGTCTTCCTTACTATTTTAACAAGTGTCAGAATGATTTTTTTCTTTAACAGTGCATGGTAAAAAGTCAGTATGCATGTGGGGTATAATGAAAAATATCTATTTGGTCTTTGTCCCAGGTTCCTGGCACGGATTTCCTAGAACCCTACGAATTTCCTGAGTGATAGGACTGCACTTTATCATTCCTAACAAGCCCCTCTCAAGCACAGAGGCCTTTATGCTAATGAGATGACTCTTGGAGGAAGAGGGAGCTTAAGGCTTGCTAGGAAAGCCGCCCGCCTGTGTGAAAAACCAAGCCAAGTGTGGAGCTGGTATGTTCAGCACTCCCACCTGTGCAGAGAGACGAGGCGCTAGAAGGCGTTCAGTCATGAGCACGAACCATAATAGTAAACAGAGTGCTTCTCTGAGTCCTGGGAGTCACTCTGGCACATTACCCAACCTGAGGAGGAGCCGTGGAAGCCCCACACTTGCAGCTCATCAGGCTGTGGGTAGCCCGGGCGCTGCACCCGCAGCTGATGTCTGAAGCGAGGGCAGTCTTGTGGGACGCGGCCCTCCTCCCGTGGGGTCGCCCCTAACTCCAGCATGAGTGTCAGAACTGAACTGGTCGAGCTGCCGGACCCCCAGTTGGTGCTGGAGACCTAGCTGGTATCAGCAGACACTACAGCAAAGGGATTAAGAGTGCTGGGGAGGGAGATGGAGGAGAGCAGGAAAGGCCCTGAAGATAATACCAAACTTCCAAATAAACGGATTATCTCGTTTGCTTTCTTGTATTATCCTAGGCTTTAATCGAGAAAACGGATTTTTTTTTTTTTTTTAAAGATTTTATTTATTTATTTGAGAGAGAGAATGAGAGACAGAGAGCATGAGAGGGAGG